ATGGCCGGGCGCGGTGGCTCACGCCTGTAATCCCAACACTTTGGGAGACCGAGACGGGCGGATCACGAGGTCAGGAGATCGAGACCATCTTGGCTAACACGGTGAAATCCTGTTTCTACTAAAAAATACAAAAACACTAGCCGGGGGTGGTGGCGGGCGCCTGTAGTCCCAGCTACTCAGGAGGCTGAGGCAGGAGAATGGCGTAAACCCGGGAGGCGGAGCTTGCAGTGAGCTGAGATCCGGCCACTGCACTCCAGCCCGGGCGACAGAGCGAGACTCCATCTAAAAAAAATAAATAAATAAATTAATTAATTAATTAAAAAATTGCATAGGACATTCAGTTATTTATGAATCATAGCACATCCAAGTCAAATCATTTCTCAGCAACACGCTTATCACCTCTTAAAAGCATTCTTAACTAACAAGCTTTGAGAAATCAGCAACCTGCTTGGGAAGTTCTATCCTTCCTACTCCTGGCCCATGACACTTGTGGGTAATTAGACTGCAACTATACTTGGCATCTGGTTCTTACTTCAGGGCCGTGGAGACTAAGATCGTCCACTCGTTCCTCTTAAATAAGACATCTCAGTGGTTTAGTGACAGTCACCTCATGGTCACTTGCAGAAGCACTGTCATGCATTTGGTAGTTTTTAAATTGGGAGATGCTATGACTCAGCATGGCGGGAGCCTGAACACAGCCAACTCCTTCGTAGTTGGATTTAAATGGAATATTACGAGTCAACACTTACAACCGCAAGGTGCTAATTTATTCATGCTTGACAGACATCATGAAAAGAAAATGCACGTTCAAGCTCACCCTTTCTCCAAATATGTATCTAATTTACTCCTCAAACTCCCCTACCCCCTTTTCCCTGGACTAACCTAATTATGTCAGAAAAAATTGTTTGTTCTTACCAAGCCCCGAAAACAAGATACATATACCATCAATGACAGCCAGGGCTCACACTCCAAATCAAATTGTAATCTCAACTATAATTACATTTTAGCCAAACTTTCAATTAAACCAATTTCAAAAACACATGATTGTAAAATAAAAACCAGGCTTTCTGGGCTAAAAATCTAAAAATCCACTTTTTATTTCTAAAGTTACTAAATATTGCCCCAGTACTAGCAGAGTACTTCAACCCTTCATTCTGTAACAGAGAGACAATTGTCTAGATCCGAGTTAATGTAGCTTATGATATTAAAACAAGGCACTGAAAATGCCTAGGTTAGTTCATGTAACTCCATAAACACCAAGGCATAGTTCTGGTCTTTTTATTGGGTTTTAGTAAGATTACACATGCAAGCATCTGGATTCCAGTGAAAATGCCCTCCAGATTGTCTAATTTCAAACGGAACAGGTACTAAGTGCACAGCTCCACATCCTAACACTGCTCAACCACGCCCCTATGGGAAACAGCAGTGATAAAAAATAAGCAATAAATGAAAGTTTGACTAAGCTATACTAAACTATTAGGGTGGGTAAATTTCATGCCAGCTACTGGAGTCATACAATTAACCCAAACTAATAAAAACAAGCATTAAGCATGTTTAAGGCAATTCTCACAAGAAAACTAAACTTTAACTGAGCCATGAAAAGCTCAAGGTAAAATAAAAATAAACCACAACAATGATTTTAGTATCCTGAGAACATGATAGCTAAGGCCCAAACTGGGACTAAATATTTCACTGTGCTTAGCCATCAACTTAAATAATTTAATAAGCGAAATTATTTACCAGAGTACTACAAGCAAAGGCTTGAACCTCAAAGGACATGGCGATGCTTTATAGCCCTTGAGAGGAGTCTGTTCTATATTCGATAATCTCTGATATACCTCACCATCTCTTGGTAACTCAGCCTGTATACTGCCTAAACAGTCTCATAGGAAGTCACCCCACCTATTAATTATTCTTTTATCAGTCCCCTTGATAAGCTGGTCATCCACTTTATCATCTCTTATTCTTGTACAATAATCTGCATGATTGATCTTACCATCAAGACCCCTGTCCATAATGTAATTCATCTCAGCTCCAGCAGAAACTAACCGAGCCCCATTTGACTGGCAGAATGTGATTCAGAGCTAGTCTCAGGCTTCAGCGTAGTTATTTATTTAATTTTTTTTTTTGGTTTTTTTGAGACAAAGTCTTGCTCGTTCACCCAGGCTGGAGTGCAGTGGTGCGATCTCAGCTCACTGCAACCTCCACCTCTGGGTTCAAGCGATTCGTGTGCCTTAGCCTCCTGAGTAGTTGGGACTATAGGCATGCACTACCATAACTGGCTGATTTTTGTATTTTTAGTAGAGACAGGGTTTCTCCATGTTGATCGGTCTGGTCTCGAACTCCTGACCTCACGTGATCCACCTGCATCAGCCTCCCAAAATGCTGGGATTACGGCAGTGAGCCACTGTGCCCGGCCCGGCTTCAATGTTGAATATGCTGCAGGTTCACTGGCTGTTTCTTCATAGCAGAATATACTAACATTATTATAATAAATGTCCTAACTACTGTTATATTTCCAGGAGTACTACATGATGTCTTTATACCAAAAATCTATACAATTAATTCCATTACCAAACTCTCCTACTGAGAACCCTATTTCTGTGAATCAGGGCATCAGACCCATGAGTTTGATATGATAAACTTATGCGTCTTCCTGTGAAAAAACTTTCTATTCCTTACGCTAGCCCTATGCATATAGAATGTTTAAATACCTGTCCTAATACCTACTATTCAACCACAAACATGGGAAATACGTCTGATAAAAGAGTTACTTTGATAGAGTAAATTATACAGGTTTAAATCTTCCTATTTCTAGAATTACAGGAAATGAACCTACTCCTAAGAAGTCAAAATTCTCCATGCTACCTGACACACCATGTCCAATAGTAATGGCGGTTAATAAGTAAGGGCAGCTTACCCTATATTAAGGGTAGCTAAATAAGCTATCAGGCCCATACCCCAAAAATGCTGGTTTATACCCTTCCTGTATTAATCAGTTCCCTGATCTTCCTCACTATCCTATTCACTATTTTTACAGAAACTGTTATCAGAGTAATTGCCTTACACTCTCTCCTAATGTGAAAGGATTAGAAATAAATATGCTAGTCATCACCCCCATCTTAATAGAAAAGGCCAACCCCAGGCCGGGAGTGGTGGCTCACACCTGTAATCTCAACACTTTGGGTGGCTGAGATGGGTGGACCGCTTGAGGCCAGGAGTTCGAGACCAGCCTGGGCAACATTCATAGGGAGTGAGGCCATGCGTGGTAGTGAGTGACTCATTCAAAGTTTTCATGGCTTCAGGGAGATTCTTAGTCTAGGACCTCAAAGAGCCATCCTGGGACAGTGCTCATATATGGGTCTTTAGCAGGGCACTCTTCCACCGAGGTCTGCCCCAGTGGGTTACATGAGATGTGGAACCTCCAGTCTATGGATTATTCTGATGCCCAGTGCTGGAAATCATGGCCCATGAAAGGGGGCCCTGATCTCTATCTGTCCTTTTAGGCATGCCATTCGTGACACTAAGAGCAGTGAGACACTTCATGGTCTCCAGTTGGGTGGCACGTTTTACACGGAAGGCCTGTGGTAGCCTCATTGTCATAGCCACACAGGTTAAGACATACCTTTTCCCTCCGCTCTGGGGCAGGGGCCCAATAAAATTGACTCACCAGTCCCGCAAAGGTTGTATGGCTCGATGTATATGACTCAGTGTGGAGGGAACCTTTTCATGTCGCAGCCATGAACAGGTTCTGGGATTCTGAACAGCGGCTAGAATATCTGCATAGTGGACAGGGACGCCTACACAGTCTTTGTTTTGGCCCACCTCACGGCTGCCCCCTGGTGGCCGCTCTTACAAGGTACCCATATGGCAGACGAATGTGCTCGGGAGCCTTGCCTAGGATTCTCCCTTCAGGGCACTCAGGCCACAGCAGCCTACGTTAGACAGCACGAAGGCCCTGGGCTTTTGTGCTAAGAGTAATAGGAAGCCATTGAAGACATGGAAGCAGGTGCTTGAAGAAATCTATGTTCTTACGAGTCAAACTGGCCCAGTGTGGAGGATGGGCTGGGATAGTGGCAAGGGCTGTGTAACAGGGAAGACCATTCTGGAAGCTTTTGCAGGAGTCTGGGTGAAATGAGAGGGCAGCCTGGATGAGGGTGTTTGTAGATTGGATGAGGGTGTTTGTAGACTGGGTGATGGTGTTTGCTGTCTGGCTATCTCTCTGTGTCCCTCTATGTCTCATGGATTTTCTCTCAACCTACACACAGGCCCTTCTGATCTTAGTCAGCTTCGTGTGACCCATGTCAATCCTGGGCCCTGGCTGCTAGATGGGGACCACGCCTGTACTCGACCCAAGCCAGATGTCTACAAGGTTTCCCTGAGTGCCTCAGGGGCCACTGGGTACTGGGATCACAGAAAAATGACCAGTCAGGAGAGTAAGCAGAAGGGACCATGGAGGCCTAGCTCCCTGTGAGCTTGGAAGAAGGATCATGAGGAAGAGAAGTCAGGTACCCAGAGCCTAGGGGAGCCCATCCATCAGCACCACAAAGGCACAGCCATCAGTCAGTATTGTTTGAACACAAGTCTCCAGAACACAAGAGGAGAGAGCCAGGTGGATCTGAGATATCATCTTGTCCAGCCCCCCTTTCCCAGCTGATGAGGAAACTGAGGCTCAGAGAGGCGGGGTCTCTTGACTGCAGGCTGGTCCATCTCCTCAATGCACCACGACGTTCCTTGACTGGTTCCTGGCATCTGGTTTTGCTTTTATTTTTCTTCACACATCAACAACTTTTCTAATATAGCATTTGGAGTTTCACTGAAATGTCATAAGTCCCTCAGTGTACCGTGGCCCCAAGCAGGGCTGACATTCGTCAAGTCTTCCTGCTGTCTGCTGACGTCACCACCATCCCCTTTACCACTGTTCGGACAAACTTGAGACAGAAACTTGCCCCCGAAGCAGGAAAGGAGCCACGAGAGCAAGGAATGACTCGAACAAGTTCAGCGTGGCGAGTAGCTAAGTTTATTAGGACTTACACACAGGGCACTCAGCAGGACAGCTCGAGAGATCCGGCCTCCCCCAATCTCTAAACTGCTTTTCAGCTAATTTTCTGGCTCTTTGTCTACTGTATATGAGCAATGAGACTTTTACTTGGTTGGTTCTCAGACACTCTCCAGGATATTTGGATTCTTAGAGACACCTGGTCCTCAGTTGGGCACCATGGCCATGGCTCATTACCTGGCCTTCAGAGTTCAAGCAGGGGACATACACCCTTCAATAACCTAAAGGAAACCCATCACACTACAACCACCACCACCATCATCAAGAAGCCACTGGCTGACTCAGATACACTCCCGGGAGGACAAGGGAGAGTGGATGCTGGAAAGACAGGGCGAGAGACCATCACCAGGGAAAGACTGCTTTCTTGGAAGGACATCAAACTGGAGGGTGGGTCTGTAGTGGAGCTGCTATTTCTTCTCCTGTATCCAACTATTCTAACTCTGGCTTTCTCCATTTTCAGCTCTTTCTTTTCCTGGTCTTCTCATTGCTGGTTCCTGTGCGCCTCCCTCTCTTCCTCCCCCAATATATTCTTTAGTCTAGAGTAAACTGCTTCTTCCCATTCCCCACAGTCTCCAGTCCCCTCTCCTCCCTTAATCCAGGCCCCAGCGTTTCTGCCTTCTCCTTGACGAACTTGCCATCTTGAGTAACCCCTCCTCTGCTGTGCTCAACTACAGACGCCAAAGTTCCTAACCCTCAGTTCCATAAACTTTACCTCGTCCTCTTTATACCCCTAAGAAACGTCTGCATTTTGTCCCGGCTTGTGTCTGGCTCACCTTCCCTGGTGGCTGCACTGCTCTGGGGTCACTGGGCCCAGCCTGCCTTTAGACTCTGATAGATCTGGGTGAGTTCGTTTAGATTCTTCTGCAGTTCCTCAGCCCACTGCCTCAGCTCCTCAGCAGACTCGGATTTTGCCCCCTCATGCAAGTGCTGTGAGTCTTGCACAAGCTGGACCACATCCAGCACAAGGAGGGCTCCTGAAGCGACCTTCGGGACTGCTTTTCTCACCATCCGTTTGGCGGCTCCAGGTGTTTTCAGCTTATCAATAACATTTGTAGGTACGAATCGCCTAATGTTGAAAGGGCGTCCAACAGTGGCTTTAGATCTCCTGAGTGTACGGACATCATTCGCAATCAATTTTGTGACTTCGTCAAAATCAAGCGCAAAAGAAAGCACGCTGGGCGTGATTTCGCTCAAAGTGTCCCCTAATACCTCCAACAGGTCACGGCTGGTCGCAGTCAGCCTGCTGGCTCGGAGTTCTGCCGACTTCGTGTATGTGTTCTCCGCGATGCTGGTGCCGATCGCAGTCGTAGCAGACGCCATTCCCAGCCCTACCCCAACTGCAGTGACGCCCAGGCTCAGCCCTGCTGTAAATGGTGCCAGCAAAAAGCCAATGACAGACAAGACGCCAGAGGCAGTGCCAGTGGAGCCGGACACCACATTGGCAATAGTGCAACCTCTGTGGAACTCTTCAATCTCATTTGCAATGACACGAATGCTTTCTATGGACTCCTGAATCTTCTGGCTGAGTTGAGGAAACTGTTTCAAAAACCACTCCCTAAGCTGCTGGTCTTTTTGCTGCACGTCTTTGTCCTCAATAGCTGCATATGGTGTAAGATTCTTCAGAGCTTCATAGAGAGCATCTGCCTCGTCCCTGTACCAATAAAGGACAGATGATGAAGAAAGGCAGCTTACTTATGTGTAAAATGAGCTCACTAAGATCTGTTCTACATAAATCACAGAGCTGTTACTATGAGTCAAATGGAAATAAAGTTCTAAAAGGTAAAGAATTATTTTCAAGGCCAGGCGCATTGGCTCACACCTGTAATCCCAACACTTTGGGAGGCTGAGGCGGGTGGGTCACAAGGTCAGGAGATCGAGACCATCCTGGCTAACACGTTGAAACCCCATCTCTACTAAAAATGCAAAAAAAATTAGCCGGGCGTGGTGGCGGGCGCCTGTAGTCCCAGCTACTCGGGAGGCTGAGGTGGGAGAATGGCGTGAACCAGGGAGGCGGAGCTTGCAGTGAGCTGAGATCCGGTCACTGCACTCCAGCCTGAGCGATAGAGCGAGACTCCGTCTTGAATAATAATAATAATAATAATAATTATTCTTATTATTATTATTATTATTATTTTCAAGGTTAAATAAGTTTTATACAACTTAGATACGCCACAGTACTTATTCAGTATGGGAAAAAATAAGTTAAAGTCATCTTCAGATGCTCCTTAGTGGCTATGTGTTTGATAAAGGTGGCTCCTCATGCGAGGGAGGTCGATGCCATCACTACCAGAGTGTGTGGAAAGGGGAAACTTCGTAGATGAACAAAGAGAAGTGGGTTCAGAGCAAAAAGACCTTCATTCAGAGGATCATAGAACAGTGAAGAATTAACTTGAACAGAAGAGAGCTCGTCCCTTTGTCCTCGGCCCCTGGGAAGTGATCTCTGGGGCCCTGGAATGTCCTGACTGGTAGGAACGTGTTTGTTTCCCCGGTGGTTTGGCTACAGGCCAGTATAGCAATGTGATGGGTGATGGGGGTTTGGGGCTATTAAGTGTCTCATCTGCCCTCCAGAAGAACTGGGGACTAAAGGGGTTAGACCTTGGGAAGGGATTGGAGACTCCATGTCAGCCATGAGGGCAGCTTGTGATCCAGTCCCAGGAAGAGCTCTGCATTGAGTCATGAGCTGAGAAAGACTTACTCCTTGGCCAAACTCCAGCCAGGCTGTTCTGAGCCTCTTCTCCTCTAGGCATTGACCTTGGCTTTCCACGCCCATCCTGTGCTTGCTGGGCCTGCACCGCCCCAGCTCAGCAAGAATCCCCCAAAGTCAATTTTGACAGGGAATCCCCCCCCCCCCCGCTTGGCGCCTGAGGACACTTGCTCTCTGATTACAGTCTTCACCCATTCATTTGATGGGTGAGTGTCTGAGCTGCCTTTAGTTGAGCATCCTGTTAGTCCAGTTTAGCAGAAACCCCCCACTCTGGTGTCTCTTGTCAGTCCTGTTCCATCTGCCGCCTCTCACCCTGGTGTTGGCTGTGACTCTCCCCCCGGCCTCCCCCAACCCCCGTCTTTACTGTATTCGGAGCTGGGCTCAGTCTCTCTCCCCTGTAACAACCATCCTGAATAAAGGCTTCCTTCCTGATTTAATGTGGTTCACAGGAATTTTTCCTTAACTGGGTGAACTTCCCTGGTTGGCAACACCCCATGTGTTTTGTCCCACATTGACACAGGAGATCACAGCGTCCTGAGGACAATGAAGCTTCACACCTGAAGCCCTCCCAGAATCTCCCCTGTGTGTCTCTTCCTTAGGCTGATTTTAATCTGTGTTCTTTCCCTATGATAAATCACAATCATGCAATAACAGTTTTCAGTGAGTTACGCGAGTCCTTGTAGTGAATTACCCAACCCGAGGGGGGCTTAAGAAAGCCCCTCAAGTTTGCAACTGATGTCAGAAGGAAGGGTGCACTCAAACGTTGCAGTTCATCTAAATCTGAGTCCTTAAGAATTCAAACACAACCTTAGACTAGAAGACATCAATTTGCCTGGCATGTTATCTCTTCCAATGCCTCATGCCCTTTGACTTTCTGACTGAAGGCCACTGGGTCCAGCCACTGCCCCCTATGACTGAAAAGTGAAAGACCTCGCTGTTAGTCTTGGCTCCATGCAAACTCTCAAGCCACCTTACTGCCTCCTGACCTGGCACCTCCAAACTTCAGGGTCTCACTTTCACATGTCACCAGCCAAACTAATGCCTTAGCAGGTGACAGCTTCACTTGTGGGCATGTCAAGGCCATGTACAATTTCATGGAACCTCTTGAGGACTCATGAGCCTTTGAAAATCATCTCTATAAATTGCTAACGCTGAAAAGACCTACATTTGGACAAGATGGTAGAGAAAGTGTTTTTCTCTTTGGTTGGGGACTTGTGAGTCTCCCAAGGACCCTTCAAATTACACCAGTTGAATCCACTCGTCCCCAGTCTGGAAGTTGACCTGAAGAAACACTGCCTCTACTCTATGTAGAACAGAAGAGGGTTTCAAACGGCAGCCCAGAACTCCCCAGTTCCCAGGCATGGTGTGGGGGAAATAGTCACCCATGGCCCACTATGCCCATCAGTGATGGGATCAAATCAGGGAGGGAAGAAATATCCCTCTCCCACTCACGTGTCCTCTGCAAGTCCATGACCGTGTTACATTTCATGCTCTCAGTGCCTCCCTCCTCTCACCCCTCTCCTGGCCTTGATGCCCCAGCCTTCCTGCTGCTCCTCCAATCTAGGCCCACCCCTGCCCCACCCTGACCCCTGGCTCTGCCCTTGGCAAGGTCTCTTTGAGTCTTTGGGTGGCATCATGCTATTTGGTTCCCCGCCTTTGACCTGGAGTTCATTCTAAGGCCTTCACCACACTCCCATCTGATTGAATTACTAATAGCATTGGACGGATGACAGGTCCCAGTCTCTAAGACTTAAGCCAAGAGCCCCGGAGCTGTGCAGGGACAGAGCCGGGATCCATCCCAGCTCTGTCCAACTCCATTCCAGCCTCTCTGTGTCCTGGGTCAGCAGAAGGATTCTGCTGTGTTTGTGCAGTTCCTCAGAGGTACAGGAAAAGGGCCCCAGATAGCATCTCCAGGAACACACACTGATCAGGTCAAGATTTTTCTGACTTTTCCCAAAGAAAGTCCTGCTGGGCTTCCATCTCTAAGAAAAAGACTTTTGGCCCTGATCTCTTCCCAGGAAGTTTTGTAAAAGGTAACATGAACTGAGCACCTACCATGTGTCAGTCATTATGCTAAATACTTTACATGCATTATCTTATTTTTCTCACAATAAAGCTCAATGGATGAAGAAAGGAAAGCAGAAAGCAGTCAAGTAGATTGCAAAGCTCCCATCACCAGTAGATGGCAGAACTGATCCTGCCCTTCTGGGCTTCCTCCCCCCTCAGCCTGAGGCCACTCACTGCCAGCAAAGGACATGGAGGAAATATTCCTTCTGGGCTGCTGAGAGGGATGTCCTCAAGCCCAGCAGAAGGAGCTGCCTGGAGGAGGTGTGCCTGCCAGAGAAAACTAGCCCAGGGGAGATCTGGGTGGCATCACTGGGGCGCCCCATGGAGGTTACCTGGGCAATTCAGCCACAGCTACGAATCTCTTCCAGGCCTCCTCGTCAGTCAGCAGGATTTTCAGATGCTCTGGGCTAACATTCTTCTGGAAGTATTCGGTGACTTCTTCAGTGAAGCATTTCTTTTCTAGTTGGAAACAAAAAGGATAAGACAGGAGGAACGTGTTCTACCACATAAATGGCATTGAATATAAGGTGGTTCGATGTTAATCCTCCTGACCAGCTGTCACATGGGGTAGTTTTGATGGAGGCACCAGTGCTATAGAGTGAATTGTGTGCCCCCCAAATTCATATACTGAGGCCCTAAACTCCAGTGACTATATTTGGAGATCGAGCCTTTAAGGAAGTCATTAATTTAAAGGCAGTCATAAGGATAGGGCCCTAATCCTATAGGACTGGTGTCCAATTAAAAGAAAAAAGAGACAGAGGATCTCTCTCTCTCTCTCTCACACACACACACACACACACACACACACACACACACTGGGAAGGCCATGTGAGGACACAGCACTGAGGCAGCCTCTGCAAGCCAGGAGCAGAGCCCTCCCCAGACATCAACCCTGCTGGCATCTTCACGTTGGACTTCTTGCCTCCAGAACTGTGAGAAAATAAGTCAGTTGTTGAAGCCACCCAGCCTGTGGCATTTTACTGAGGCATCCTGTGAAGAGTGATTCAGCAGGAAAGTGGCACGGTGCTTTGTGGAGCAACCCATCTATTTCAGCTGAGAATCACCAGAAAGTAAGAGCTTTCCACCACGTTTTCTCCCCATGTAAGGGAAATCTTCCAAGATCGCTTCCTTCTGCTGTGTACCTATTGTCAAACACTTTAAACCAGTGTCTTCAAAATCTGAGTTTCGACCCATCAGTGGGTTATTACAATAGTTCATGTGTCAAAAGCAGCATTTTAAAAAGAAAAGAGCATTGAAAATATCAGAGTGTATTGAACATAGCAAGAGTGAGTATTCTTTGGTAAGATATTATATGTGTGTGTGTGTGTGTGTGTGTGTGTGTATTTCTGGGATCTGGATGTGTTTAGCATGGCAGCATTTTCAATCTTTTAGAAGTGACACACGGTGCATACGCTGTATCACTGACCACTCCCAGAGTGATCAACGGTACAAATGTTTTAACCTTGTAATCAAAGGTACGAATGTTTCAACAGAGAAACCAATGCATATTCACCTTAAATGAGATACATAATATTACCGCTACAAAGCATCTTAGTACACAGCAGGATTACTGCCCAGATGAGTTGCCCAAAAAATGTGTGGTTTGCAGGGATTTAGGAATAACGGAACTGCAGAGAAGGGACTGGGAAGCAGTATGTATTTATGTATGCACTGGGGCATGATGTAAAATTGTTTCCTGCCCTGGAGGCACTTGCAAGGCCTCATTCTCATTTCACGGAAGGAGAAATTGAGACCCAGACAGTGAGAGACACCTCCCAACCCGGCAAGCAGGAAGCTCAGGATTTGACTCCCAGGCCAGCATTCCCTTGCCATTGCTTTGAAGACTCCATATATTTTTTTAAATGCCTGTGGTTTCTGCATTCTCCCCTGTAGTATACCTGTGGAGTTTTAAACATTTTATTTGCATTCTCCCCTGTAGTATACCTGTGGGGCTTTAAACATTTTATTTGCACAGAATTTAAACATTTTATTTATTTAAACATTTTATTTTAAACATTTTATTCCTCCTGCGGGTCATGGGGGCTCTCACGCGGGCAGTGGAGGGGGTTCTTTAGGTGGGCAGGGGGTCGGGACCCTCAGCAATGATCCTTGTGGCCCCTGTGTGTTGCCTCTATCCCCTGCAGGCTGGTCTCAGGGTACACGGCTCCCCACTATCACCTCTGAGCCCAGCTGGCCCCGTTATTAAACCAGAGATCATCTTGTTTCGGAGGGAGAGTTTCTTCCTTGGCCCCCAGCCCAGCCCTTCCTAAGGATTCCAGGGTCGGCTGGGAGCTCCTGGCTTCTAATCTTCTCCACCCTCCCCTGGTCTCGGACAGGACTCAGCACAGGCCAGTTTGCTGTCCAGGGCGGCTCCTGAGCAGGGCTGACTTGGTTGCCACTGCAACTCTGTAAGGGGAGGAAGCCGTCCTGAGGAAATGGGGCTTAGGGAAATGAACGCAGTGCTGACTTGGCTGGGCGAGGGCTTGTCTTGTTTTTTCTCTTTCCTTCTTCACCAAAAGGAGGAAGGAAACCCAGGGTTGGATGGAAGGAACCTCCAGCACTAAATATGTGTTTTATTGATGGGGTGGGGATGGTGAATATTAAAGCAAAATTAAAATAAAAACCAAGCCTGAAACATTCCTGGGCAAACAAAACCAACCAGACCTTGAGAACGGCTGTAATCCCCGCTTAAACTGCAAGCTGTGGGAAACTGAACTGGGGTCATATCAGATGGGCGCTTCTGTTAGACACAAACAAAACTTAACCTCGGCCAGTCACAAGCAGCCAGCTGACAGAGGGCCATGCTGAGATGGGAATACTGGGAGGTCACAGAAGAAACAAGAACTCCAGGCAGCAGGTTCCCATGACGGACACAGAAGGAGCTGCTGAAACCAGCTGCAGGGACAGGGGGAGGCGACGGGCCCACAGGACCCTGACAAACAGGAAGTGGCCAATCCGGCTAAGACCAGTAAGATCTACTTCGGCGCTGGGTCTGACCCACTTTTCACCCCAGACTCAATCATACCCTCCTTGTCCCATACCCACCTGCGCCACAGCAGTTCCATTCTTGCTACAAAACTGCGTGGCCCCCCAGTTCCAAGAAATCTCTGCCTCTTCCCATAGATCCTGATGCTTACTCTGCCCATTAGCTTAGTAAACCCACAAAAACAAAAACACCAAACCCCACTGGGCCCGACTGGCTCTTCTGAGTCCGCCTGCACTCCCACCCCCGAGCCTGCGCTTCCGCTTTGCAATAAAAGCTGATTTGCTTTGGCTTTGACTCAAATTTTTTCTCTCTTCGGTGTCAGAAACTGGACAAGGCTAAGGTCCGGTCTCACCTGCATTCAGAGACCTCCCTAAACCCACCGGCATCAATGTGACCAGGAATTTTCCAACAAGGTAAACCAAAACAAGAAGTTTTATAACTGGAACTAATCAAATAATGTCCTTATTGCACTTCCTTATTCACCCGATACACACTTGTCTCCCACACTTTTTCATCATAACATGAAACCTCCTCCAGTTTGGTTTTCTCAATTCATGAACTCCTTCTTATTCAGATAAATGTTATTGTGCCTCAGATGTTTCTTTGACAAGGGGTATGTTAGATGATTGGACTCAGCCCTGGTAAAGAGGTGCTTGTGATGGGCAGTGCAGGGCAGGTGCCCCTAACACAGCTCGGGAAGGGGATGGTTTCCCCTTAGAATCAACAGGGGTCAGGTGGAGGGGATGGGAACCAGCTCTTAGGGAGGCCGTAGTTTGTGGCAGGCACTGGCTGGTCCAGGTACCCATGTAATGTTTGATCCTCATGACAACGTGGGCAAATATCCTGGTGGTGCAGTTGAGGACGACTAAGGAGCTCCAGGTCACACAGAGGGCACATGGCCAAGACCACAATGGGGTCCAGTTCAGTGGAAAGCTGGATCACTCTACCCACAGGGCCACTCAAAGCAGACAGACTGGTGCGGGGCAAGAGCTGGAGAAAGGGGACCAGCCTCTCCTGGAAACACCCCAGGGTCAGCCAGGAGCAGAGTAGGAGGTAAGAGGTCAGGGCTGCTGGTCAACCTCCTCTCCCACCTCTCCCCTACTTCTGGTCCCTGCTCTCCCCCCGCAAAACCCAACCCTGCTGTTACCCCTTCCCCAAGGCCGTCCTGCCCCACTTGAGTCATTTGCTAGGTGCCAGGGTAGGGAGGAGGTGGGCACCTGGGCCATACCCCCCCTGAGGAGAGGTCAGGATGCAGATGCCCCCCAGACCCCTGGTTTGGGGGACTCCACATGGCCTCTCTTTGGGCTCAGGGCAGACTCATCGGCCACCTCCATCTGGGCTCTGTTGGGGCTCACTCAGCCTTGGAGACACCACCCTCCATTGTAGCTGTGGATACGAAACAGCCAGGGAAGAGGAGGCAAGCTTACCAGCGGCCAGGTCACTGAGAGGCTTACCATGGAACTGTTCAGCCATTGTCCTGCCTGGATGGTGTTGCTGCGTCCTTGAGGAGGAGAAAACAAATTGTGGGATTGACTGTGAGGCACCTGTGGACAGAGGGAGGCTTGAGTAGTCGGGGCTCTGCAGATCCCTCTGAGGTGGCAGCAAATGCCAAGACCAACCTAACCCAGATTGTTTCTCTATCATCGAGTCCCCATCATCTGCTGTTTACAGACACTTAACTCCCTCCAGCTCCCTCTGCCCTCACTCCCACAGCAAGGAAAAGTCCGCTTGTCCTGTTGGAGAATGAAGAGAAGATAATCAGAGGAGGGGCAGCCATCTGATCATTACAGAAACTATGGAGTCTATACACAGGAATAGAGATGGGGAGGAAGGTTCTGACAATGACCTGGGCCTGGGAACATATGTGATAACTAGTTGATGATAGCCAGTGTGTATTGCGTGTCTGTGATGTGCAGGGCTTCTTTTTAAATTTTTATTTATTTGTTTTTCTTGAGACGGAGTCTCGCTCTGTCACCCAGGTAGAGTGCAGTGGTGCAATCTCAGCTCACTGCAAGCTCCACCTCCTGAGTTCATGCCATTCTCCTGCCTCAGCCTACCGAGTAGCTGGGACTACAGGTGCCCGCCACCACACCCGGCTAATTTTTTATATTTTTAGTAGAAACAGAGTTTCACCGTGTTAGCCAGAAGGGTCTCGATCTCCTGACCTCGTGATCCGCCCGCCTTGGCCTCCCAAAGTGCTGGGATTACAGGTGTGAGCCACCACACCTGGCCTGTGATGTGCAGGGCTCCTTACACGTGTCTCATTCGATGATCACACAGCCCGGGAGATGGGTACCACCTTCTCTTTCAAACACAGAGGAATCCACAAAAGTTAGGGAACCTGCCCGTGTTTTCACAACAGTGCTAGAGCCAGGACTTCTGCTTCAACCCCACGTCTTCAATGACTGTGCTCTACTCCCTTCAATATACAATACTCAGTCATGTGTACACGCTCATGGGAAATGACTCCTCATTGCAAATCCGTGTCTAACACTCTGTGTTCAACTCTTCGTCTTGGTGAATTCACTGCTGCTGCAGCGGACAGCCTGTGTCCCCGTCGCTTCTCTAAGGTCCTTTGTCCCACAAAGACCTGGATCCTACCAGATGACGGCGCAGCCCCTGCTGTGGCTGCCGAGCCCTCCTGGTGCTACCCTGTGCCCCTCTGCTGTCCCACCCTAGCTGATGGACATAGGGTGTTTCTAATTCTTCATGTAATTTATGCTACAAAGAACATCCTCCTTCAAGTAAAACTGCCCACATTTGATTTTATTTCCTTAAGATATTCGTAGGAGTAGAATGACTAGGTCAGAGGCTATCAACATCTCAAAATGTTTTATACCTAGAGCCACACTGCATGCAAGTTGTACCAATTCACACTCGAACTAGCAGTACATGAAGATGCCCATTCTTTCAGTCTCACTGGCTCTCAGTAGTCTCTTCTTTAGGACAAAAAAATATGTACACAACATGTAAACTTGAGAACTAAATATACTTGTTACCAATACCAATTAGTACAAAATTTAAAGCACAAAGGTAGCACTGGGATGTGAAACACTGAACGAAGCAGAAGGAGGATTAATATTGTCATTTTTTTTTTTTTTTTTTTTTGAGACGGAGTCTCGCTCTGTCGCCCCAGGCTGGAGTGCAGTGGCCGGATCTCAGCTCACTGCAAGCTCCACCTCCTGGGTTTACGCCATTCTCCTGCCTCAGCCTCCCGAGTAGCTGGGACTACAGGCGCCCACCACCTCGCCCGGCTAAGTTTTTGTATTTTTTAGCAGAGATGGGGTTTCACTGTGTCAGCCAGGATGGTCTCGATCTCCTGACCTCGTGATCCGCCCATCTCGGCCTCCCAAAGTGCTGGGATTACAGGCAATATTGTCATTTTTTAAAGAGGGAAGTTAAGAAATACTGGGTACAACTGACCATATAAGAAAGTTGTAGGTAAATTGTTTACAGCTACAAAGTTGCTAATGGAAGACATAAAACTGGTGATACAATGTTAGGAAAAGGTGGAGAGGAGAGATAGAGGGAGGGTGCAAATAAGATGAAAATGACTAATAATGATACTATAATTAATAATAATAATACAGTATCAGGCCCATCGCAGTCACGGGTGGCTCCAGGCATTACCATTTCTCTTTCCACCCTGTGTCTCTGCTCACTCCCTGGCGTGCCCACTTCCAGCAGCTGGTCTTTGTTTGCAGCTTTTATTTTAAAAGCTCAGTGGTTTCCGGGCCCCCTGATGGGGTTCCATCCTCCAGCTCTCATACAAAAGCCCCCTCCTCAAAAGCCACTCGCCTCCCTCTTTCCCCTTCCTGCCTTTATCCCAGGGTTCAGACACACAGACGTCTGTCTTCTGGGGCCCCCCATGCAGCAAGCGTAAAAGGGGGACCCAGTCCTGGGCAGCAGTTCACCAACGGAGTACGCAGAGGGGCATCTGGGCACTTCTTGCTGTAAGGGACAGGGGTGACAGGAGAGGGGCATCCCTTCCCCTTGTTCCTGCTTTGTTCACTGTGAGACCCCTTAGGCCAGGATAGCCATCTCAACACCATGAGCCATGAGGACCAGGAGGACCAAGAGAGAGCAGAGGAGCGGAGGGCAGAGAGAGCCGCGGCCTCAGACTCGCCCAACACTTGTGAAGAGCTGCACCCAGGATCCCATCCTCCTTGGTCATTGTTGGCCTGGCTCAGACCCTGATCTGGGGCCTCTACTGAATGTTGAGGCTAGATACTGACTGTTAGCCTCAAGTAGGACACAATGTGTCCTCCCTGGGCGTGTCTGCCAGTTGGTCAATTCCAGGAAGTGACTTTGGTTCCTAGAAAAAGCCCAGATGGCGCCTGGCCCAGCCCAAGCCCTCCTCAATTGTGCAGCCCAGACAGGGAGCCCTCCCTCCTGCCTCAGGGCTCTGAGCCAAGCTCATCAGCTGCAGAGGACAAAAAGTCCCAGCAAAGAGGCTCCCTCCATGTCACGGGCTCCAGGGCCTCCTCCTTGGGCAGGAAAAGAGGAGTTGAGACGTGTGCTCCTCCTGAGAAATCACCATTTTCATTTCATTTTTGAGAAACGGTTGTGCTCTGTCGCCCAGGCTGCAGGGTTTTGGCGCCATCATAGCTCGTTGCAGCCTAGAGCTCCTGGGCTCAAGTGATCCTCCTCCTTCAACCTCCTGAGTAGCTGGGACTACAGGTGCACGCCACCATGCTGGGCTAATTTGTTCATTTTTGATTTTATAGACACAGCGTCTCCTGTGTTGCCCAGGCTGTCTTGAACTCCTGGCCTCAAGTGATCCTCCCACTTCTGCCTCCCACAGCACTGGGGTTACAGGCTTCAGCATCTCTTTTTGGTGAAGAACAAATAAGACCGTGACTCAGATTTCACAGAAATTTCCCCCCTGATTTCATGTACTTTTGGCAGCTCTATCAGAATTTCAAGAGGGGAAAATCTCAGGCTGAGAGCGGAGGTGACTTGCCCAGAGTCACACAGCTCTTGGAGGGCAGAGGGGAGGCCAACATCTGGCCTTGTGACTCTGATATTGAAGCAAAAATGGGTGATTTTAGTAATCCAAAAATGTCCAGGTTTGATTCTACTTCTACAAACACGGAGATCTAAGCTCACACTCCTGTAGTTATGATCACAGTTCCACAGTGTGGCTTTTGAATCTCATGATTGCAAAGCTGGCATCACGCCACAGGCACCATTCTGCAAGGCGCCCTTCTCACTCCCCTGTCTCAGCCATGTTTCCCATTAGGGACACAGCACAGCCTGTTTCTTCTCCATCCCCCCAGAGGTCTGAACAGAGGGACAGAGGTGAGGGCCAGTGATGTGGAGTCCTATGAGCTACCTGCTCAACCTCCTGACACTGGACCCTCGGCAAGTCGCTCCCCTCCCAGGGCCTCAGTTTCCCCACAGGGCCTGGAACAAGTTGGTGCTCAGACTCAAGTGGGGTGAGATGACCTCTAGGTTCCTTGTATCTCAAAAGAAATCTCTTTCCCCATCGGGCCTCAGCAGCAGCACCCTGGGGCCACCCTGGGTGTGGCCACGCCACAAGGACAGGCCGGACTCCAGGTCACGTCCCCACCTCCACCTTCTCTGATTCCTTCAAATTTCCCAAAGAGACAGGCATCCCCAACACAAACCTTCCTTCTGGGGTCCGCCAGCCATGTCTCCGCAGTCTAAACCAGAGCTGAACCCAGGGAGCTTTGTGAACCCATCTGAGCTGTTTCCCGGCCTCTCTCTACTGTTTAAGGGCACAGCAGGAGGGAGGGAGCATCAGACTCAAGCCTGGGTGCAAATCCCGGCTCTGCCACTGCTTTCCTGTCTGATCTGAACCAGTTACTAACCTCTCTGAGCTTATCCACAAAAGCGGAATGATCCTTCCCTCATGGAGCTATTGTGAGAATAAGGAGATGGGGACAGGTCAATGGTCCCCGACTTACCGAGGAATCTTCCCCGACAGAGACTGAGCAAGATCCAGCTGTTCTGAGCTGTGTGGATCCCACCTCCAGTTATGCATCTGTGTAATAAACAGACACGTCCTCCCACCCCTAAGATATACCCAGGAATTCGAAAGGGAAAGGGAAATTCACAACTTCCCAGCAGCTGGTGATCAAGTGTAGCAAACAGGCTGCTTACCAGCACCACCTTCAGTCCAGACCCAGCCTCCTTGCTGTTGCACTTACAGGAGCAGCCCCAGACCAGACATCCAGGTCTCTTTCATCCAACCCACCTGCCTCGCATCCTCAGGGTTGGGGGTCTGCTATGGTCTCAGGAAGAAAGACCTGCCACTGACAGACTGTGAGACCCTCCAGATTACTCCCCGTCCTCCCGTGCACCCACACTCCCCAGATGCCTGCCTTCCTCCCGCCTGTGCCACCAGCATTTGCACAATCTCCCACACATACCAAGTGGATGCTTATTGTATATTTGTTGTAATGCTGTTGGGGGTTATTTTGTTTATGTTTTTGAGACAGAGTTTCACTCTGTAGCCAAAGCTGAAGTGCAGTGCCACAATCAGTGCACTACAGCTTCCAACTCCTGGGCTCAAGCCATCCTCCTACCTCAGCCTCCTGAGTAGCTGGTTCTATAGCCGTCAGCCAACCGCCCAGCTAATTTTTAAAGACAATTATATTAGAGATGGTGTATCACTATATTGACTGGGCTACTCTTGAACTCCAGGCCTCAAGTGAGCCTCCCACCTTGGCATGAGCCACCGCCCCAGGCCTGCTCTTGTTGAAGGCCATGCCTTGTGGCTTTTACACATTTGCTTATGTGGGATCTTCTGCCAGGAGCACCTGCTTCCACCATCTGGAAAAATCGTCCCCACCTCCACCTTCTCTGATTCCTTCAAATTTCCCAAAGAGACAGGCACCCCCAACACAAACCTTCCTTCTGGGGTCCCCCAGCCATGTCTCCCTTCAATGACAAAATCAGGCGTTGCCTCCTTTCAGAGAAGCCCCAGCATCCTTTCCAGCAGAGGCCACCGCCCCATGTTCCACTCCCGAGGCACACTGGGTGGAGGGACTAGAGACCACTGCTCACCACAATTCCATGGCTAAGAAGTCAGGCAACCAGATTGCTGCTGGACTTTTGTGCTTTGCCCCAGGCAGAAGGGCCTCAGAGGCAGCTAAACCACAGAAGCCAACCTGACCATTCCATGGAAGCCTATTTCATCCTCAGCAAACATCTCTGGGGACATCGTGGCCACCTCCTCCCACCCACACACCCACACACACACACACACACACACACACACACCAGTTTCTGAGGGAGGAATAGAAAGGTGATTACACAGGGACTGCACAGTATACTTTGCAATACATTCCATTTGCAAATACTTCTCCATTTGATTGAATTTTATAATCATCCCCTCAATGGACCAGGATTATGATCTGAGTTTTCAGATGAGGAAACTGAGGCAAGAAGAGAGGAAGTTGCTTTCATCCAGCAACTCAGGGAGGAGGCAAGACTTGTAAACCAAAGAGGGTCTAAGACACATCTCAGTCAGTTTAGAGGTTTACTCTGCCAAGTTTGAGGATGCACCCAGGAAAAAGACACACAAGTCACAGGAGGATCTGGGGCCCACTCACTATTCACAGGGCCTTTTGAGGGCTTCAACATTTAAATGTGTAAAATCAGGCAGGAGTGGTAGGAGGAAAGGAAAAAAGACAGGATAGGTAATGAACTGAGTGGTCACATTTTTGTGAGGCTTTGATTGACCCTCCCTGAATCCACAGGTTCCATGTGAAAGGGGGTTAGAGGAACAGTCCATTATTCATTCATCTCGTGCACAGTTAATCTACATTTTCTATTAGATAAAAATAAACAGAAACTAGAGGAAGTAGGCATATGTGCATTTGTCTGAGGGTGGGCAGAAGGGTCACTTCCGGTCTTGTCATCGTTATGTACCAGTCCAGATAAGTTGTCAATTTGCATTGTCACAGTGAAATTATACAAAGTCTGTCTCAGGGTAAAAATCTGGGGACTTACAAGGCTTTTCCTTGTGAGGAATTTGTGAGGCAGGCCAACTGGGATATATGTTGCCTTCCATCTTTGCAAATATCTGTTTAGAAACCAAAACAAAGGCAGATTTTGGAGTGGCTCTGTTTCCAAGCTTAACTGGCTGCACTGGCATAGTGAGTTTGGGGCCCCGAGATTTGATTTTTCCTTTCACATTTTCTCTTTGTTCTTCAACATCTTTTGGAGAAAACAGTGTAGAAGCAAATGAATCTCCAGTCACGGCGTTGGTCTGAATTCTGTAACACAAAGTATTCCGTCTTCCGTTTGCAGGGCTTAGTAAAAGGACAGTTTTCATTTCTGGTGATGCCAAGTCAGAAAAATGAGAGAAAAACAAAAGGAAAATGTTAGCTTGGAGACTTGTAGCCAGGAAAGAATTCAATATCTAGTCCAGATAAATTGTAGACAAATAATAAAGCTGGAAAACAATGGACAAAGCTAGAATCTCATAACAGATGTTTCATAGTTTCTTTTAAAAGACACCTTTTCTCTCTCTAGTCCTCTATTTCTACCAAAGACAAATCAGACTAGGATGAATTTATTCGCAAAATAAGTTTTGGTCTTATAATACGTGACTTGATTATTTGCATAAAGTACAGAAGAATAATTACATGGCATATGGAGTCTTTTTTAAAATTTGACTTTGCTTAACCATTTTCATATTCATAAGCCATCTCAGAGTAGGGCTTTTATAATCTTGAGCTCAGCCATGAATTTATGTTTGCCTGCAGATACCTGTATGAATTGGATGAGTTCCTTTCTTTTCGAGGCTCCATGATCACTTGGGCTTCCCGGGCCTGTTAGAAAGTGATTTTCTTTATTTACCACAGTTCAGGAACCCTGTAAAGGAACTCTATAGGCAAAAGAATTAATAAAGGACTGAAATATTATTTTCAGTCGTTTCAGACAGAGCGGAGTGTCGCTGTCACCCAGGCTAGAGTGCAGTGGCACCATCTTGGCTCACTGCAAGCTCTGCCTCCCGGGTTCACGCCATTCTCCTGCCTCAGCCTCCCGAGTAGCTGGGACTACAGGCACCCGCTGCCACACCCGGCTAATTTTTTGTATTTTTAGTAGAGACGGGGTTTCACCGTGTTAGCCAGGATGGTCTCGATCTCCTGACCTCGTGATCCACCCGTCTCGGCCTCCCAAAGTGCTGGGATTACAGGCGTAAGCCACCGCACCCGGCCACATCAGCTTTTCAATTAGAGTTCTGAAAGATTTTTTTCTTAGTCCAGTGGCACAGTCTCTAACTGATCAGAAATTGGTTTTTTAGAAGTAAAGTAAAACACTTCTTGCAGATAACAAAAGTATTAAAACAGCGTTGGTAAAGACACAATTGACAAGGAAATTAGGTTATTCCTGTGGCATATAACCACTTAAGATGCATAATTACTTCTGATCACATATGCCAAGACATCTTAGACTTATAGAAATCTTATAGGATGTTGGAACACATATTAATAACACATTTACATAAATATAACCCAAAGAATGTTAAACACCATTTTATATTTGTCATGCTGGACCCCTGTGCTAGTGAGCTGAGAGGGCACAGCCTTGAAGAGACAGAAGAAAAGACGTGGAGACAGCAGGAGAGACATAACCTTTATTCAGGGAACTTACGTACAGGGAGCCCAGGAGCAGCAGGCGAGACAAGAAATCCCCTCCTGTTTGTCAAATGCATGCAGGTTATATGATATTTTTCCCAGAGCAACCTCCACTTAGCAACCTCTGCCAGGAAACCTTCACCTAGCCCAAAACAAAAGAGCTTGGTTCCTTGCATGACCTCTGATCCAAGGAATGTGCCAGGGCCGAAGTGTTCTTTTTTTCTTTTTCTTTATCTTTTTCTTTTTTTAGACGGAGTCTCACTCTGTCGCCAAGGCTGGAATGCAATGGCACGATCTCAGTTCACTGCCACCTCCGCATCCCAGGTTCACATGATTCTCCTGCCGCAGCCTTCTGAGTGCTCGAATTACAGTGTGCACTACCACCCCTGGCCAATTTTTGTATTTTTAGTAGAGATGGAGTTTCACCATGTTGGTCAGGCTGTTCTGTAACTCCTGACCTCGTGATCTGCCTGCCTCAGCCTCCCAAGTACTGGGAGTGTTCTCCATAGGTATGATATAAACATCTGGATTAGCCTTTTTGTTCAGCCGGGAACCCCGAACAAAAATTCACCAAGGAATGTGCAGTCATTCTCAGAAGATGCTTGAGTTATAGCTGCCTGACAGGACACGCCAAACGTGCGCTCCACCCCAGCATACCTTTGAATGGCCCTCAAATTCTCACCACACTGTTTTTCTGTGGTTTCCCTGGGGCCAGCTTTGTGGAAGAGCATTGCTGCCAAGCAACCCAGCAGCAATATAAGTGCAACAAAGGATTGTGAACACAATTGCAATTACATTAGATACACAGCTCCTCCAGTGTCTGGGAGTTGATTAAACCATGAGATGATAGGACCATAAGACAAACACTCAATGGCTGGACTCTGGGTATCTAATGCCAGCAGAGCCTGTGTTATGTTATGAGAGTAATGAGGGAGATATACACAACATTTTGTTTTAATTAATGCACAAGTTCCACCCTGGGCAGCAGTTACATGGTTTCAGGTTATGTCCTGGATCACACAATTTTGCAGAAGAACACGCCTGACTGGATGGTTTCTTCATTGAGAAGAGTGAAAGGATGGTGAGTATCATTGAAGGCTGCAGCCACGTGTTTAGCCAGGGTGTCAATTGCCACTCTGCAATTACGGTTGCCACTTTAGACGTAAACATGGCCAAAGGGTAGCACCACCAGGATGCATGTTTCTGGTGATATCTAGCTTCTACCATTTCCCAAAAATTGAGGGTTGTGTCTAAATGGGGCACTTTATACTCTAGCCATTCAGGATGCCACCAGGTGCACCTGCCAGTCTAATTGAATGGCAAGTAGGGCCTGGCATGGGTGCCACATGCCTATGACGATCCACATGGGGAGAGGTAGGCACCCACATGTAGCTACTTATTCTACATTCCAGCTGTCTGTCATTGCTTTAGCCAAGGACTTGGTGAAATTGTTGTACAGGTAGCCACCCCACATTGTGGGTATTTGCTAACAGCGTGCTGCCATTTATCGATTAATACAAAGTTACACAACCAACTGCCTGTATTTGTACTGCAGTCAGCAGTTGCCCAGTCCATCACATACAGCATACCTGACGTGACATTTACCTGTTCACAAATTGAACTGAAAACTTTCTGTGACTGGGCATAGTGGCTCACACCTCTAATCCCAGCAATTTGGAAGGCCAAGGTGGGTGGATCACCTGAGGTCGGGAGTTCGATTCCAGCCTGGCCAACATGGTGAAATCCTGTCCCTACTAAAAATACAAAAATTAACCAGGCATGGTGGTGGTGCATGCCTGTAATCCCAGCCACTCAGGAGGCTGAGACAGGAGAATTGCTTGATCCTGGGAAGCAGAAGCTACAGTGAGCTATAGTGTTTTGTTTCATTTTCTGGACCATCCTGTTTCCCGTAAAGGAAGTGATTTCCTGAAATCTCTCAAGTGTTCTGAAAATGTGATTTTCTTCTTCACTTTCTCCCTGTTGGCTCAAGATGAATCACAAAACTCCAAATACCATCAGCATGTGTTGCCCAAGTCCCACCTGTTCTATGGCTGATAGCCACAGGGAGCTGGGTCTGGCGAGGCTGGTGATGACCGACTGTAACACACATCAAGGACTAACATGCTCCCGAAACAGACCCCATGTCTGAGAATTTGCAAAAGCTGCCCTGAAATGTTGTCATCACAGAGAGTGCCCCAGTGTCCTGTCCAGATATCCCTCCCTCCCATGAGCTGGAGAGGATATTTGGCATCAGACAGCTGGTAATCACTTTCCCCAGTTTTTGGCTTCATGACTCAGTTTTCTTGCTTGTAGAATAAAGCTCATCATAGAATTTACTTCTCAGAATTCCTAAGAGAATAAATTCAGGCAGGGTGGGGAATTTGTATGGCATATAGTAGAGCTCAGTAAACAAGAATCAATTTTTCTGAGCACTCACTCTGTATACAGGGCAGTGAGCAATCATGGTGTCTGCTTATCTCCATTTGTAACTGCAGAAAACTTCAGCTGCTCACTGCTTGCAAACGCAAATGAACAAAGATGAGAAACAGTGAAAGGAAAGTGACTTCATTCCAAAAGCCCATATCTGGGAATGAGGTCAAGCTAGTGCCTTAAAGAAACCATTTCAGATTTTGAGCTGAGGGCAGAGGTTTCAAAAGGGAAACTTGATACGAAAGCCATGCAAAAGTAGTGAAGAGGTGCCAGTGTACGTGACTTGTCCAATGACCATCTTGAGTTACTGCCCCATCTGGTGTGTGGACTGGGGGCATCTCCGGGACAGCCAGGTTGAAAATTCACTGTAGCCTTGAGGTAATTCCACAGCTTCCTGGATGGTTTCAAGATTTCTTCTATTGGGGCAATTTCAATGTATGTTTTTCTATTTTCCATAAGTGTTGGCCAGCTAAGAAGTAAAGAGAGACAGTACAAAGAGAGGAATTTTACAGCTGGGCTGCCAGGGGTGACATCACATATCAGCAGGATCATGATGCCTGCCTGAGTCTCAGACCAGCAAGTTTTTATTCAGGGTTTTTAAAAGTGGAGGAGACGTAAGAACAGGGAGTAGGTACAAAGATCACATACTTCAAAGGGCAAAAAGCAGAACTACTAATAAGGATCTAACAAAGATCACATGCTTCTGAAGGAGCAGGACAAAGGGCAAAAGCAGAGCTACTGATAAGGGTCTATGTTCAGTGGTGCACATATTGTCTTGATAAATATCTTAAATGACAGAAAACAGGTTCGAGAGCAGAGAACCAGTCTGACCACAAATTTACCAGGGCAGAGTTTTTCCCCACCCTAATAAGCCTGAGGGTACTGCAGGAGACCAGGGCGTATATCTCAGTCCTTATCTCAACTGCATAAGACAGACATTCCCAGAGCAGCCACTTATAGACCTCCCCCGAGGAATGCATTCCTTTCCCAGGGTATCAATATCCTTGCTAGGAAAAGAATTTGGCAATATCTTCCCTACTTACATGTCCATTTATAGGCTCTCTGCAAGAAGAAAAATACGGTTCTTTTTGCCCGACCCCACAGGCAGTCAGACCTTATGGTTATCTTCCTTTGTTCCCTAAAATCACTGTTATTCTGTTCTTTTTCAAGGTGCACTGATTTCACATTGTTCAACCACACATGTTTTACAATCAATTTGTACAGTTAACACAATTATCACAGTGGTCCTGAGGTGATGTACATCCTCAGCTTAAGAGGATAACAGGATTAAGAGATTAAAGTAAGGACAGGCATAAGAAATTATAAAAGCATTATTTAGGAACTGATAAATGTCCTTGAAATTTCCACAATTTATGTTCCTCTGCTGCGGCTGCAGCCGATCCCTCCATGTGGGGTCCCTGACTTTCCACAACATCATACCTGGAATTTCCAAGAAATTGCATGATTAAATAAAATATAGTGCATGGGAGGGGAGATCCTGCTAGAAAAGGAGAACAAAGATTCACACATTACTAAAAGCAAAAGAAGAACTGGACAAAGAGAGGAGACCAAAAACAAACAAAAATAAATCAACTCTTAAAATGGGATACTTGGTTACATTTTCATCTTCTCTGTGCACTCTCTACTACTCTTGATGTTTCTCCTGTGCCCATGTACAGATCAGAAACAGACTTAGACAATGAAATAATTTCCCCAAGGCCACACAACTGGCCATGGCTTCCCTTTTTGTTAGAGACAGGATCTCACTCTGTTGCCCAGGCTGGAGTGCAGCAGCAGAATCAAATGTCTGGGCTCAAGTGATCCCCCCACTTCAGGAGCCCAAGCAGCTGAAACTACAGGCATGTGCCACCATGTCTGGCTAATTTTTTAACTTTCTTGGTAGAGATGAGGTCTCATGATGTTGCCCAGGCTGGTCTTAAACTCCTAGCCTCAAGTAACCCTTCTGCTTCAGCCTCCCAATGCACTGGAGTTGTAACTGAGTATCCCAGCATTGAAATGTACTTTAACATTATTTTTCTTTCTGTCTTCATCTCATAATGTAGCCTTAAAATGTACTTCAAAACTCCTTTTCCCTCCCTTTCCCACCAAGTTCTCTTGTGCACAGTGTTCACTTACCTAATGATGTGGGTGCATAGAAATTCAAGGAGCTAATTTTGAAAAAACCAGGCAGAGATAACTGAACAATGAGATCAGGAAGGGGAACATCATACACTGGGGCCTATCATGGGGAGGGGGGAGTGGGGAGGGATTGCATTGGGAGTTATACCTGATGTAAATGACGAGTTGATGGGTGCTGATGAGTTGATGGATGCAGCACGCCAACATGGCACAAGTATACATATGTAACAAACCTGCACGTTATGCACATGTACCCTAGGACTTAAAGTATAATAATAATAAAGAAAAAACAAAGTGGGCAAGTCAAACTTCTTTTTATCACTGTATTTCATCATGAAGTCTATAAAAGCAACATCAGAAGAAAAAAAAAAAAAAGAAAGAAAGAAAAAACCAGGCAGAGAAACCCAGCTGCAAAATTCTCTGGCTTAGGGGAGATTACCAACAATTAATCCACCACCAACAGGGTAAAGTCCAAATAATGCCAGTTGGACCTCCTGACAGGCTATTTCTCAAGACAGCCATTGGAACAAGACACAGACCTGCACCTTCCTGCACCACTCCCACACACCTCCGATTCCAGTGTTCCCTTTCTAAATTCCTCTCTCCAGGCTAAAGTAGAAATGATCTTTTAAGAGCATGAGCCTGACTGTTCCCCCGATGTGAGCACTTGAATGAAGCTGCTTTCCCTTCACCACAACTCACTTC